CAGTACATCATTAAATCCTCATCTCCAAGCCAAAACAAGCCCAAGCACAGTTGACTAAGAATTACCCACATTTGTTGAGCCGCATGTTTCCCCCTTCAGGCCCTTCACCCTGTCTGTTCGCAGGTCATCAGACAAAACCTCTCCATCTCACAGAATGACCCGCCAACCCTCTCATACTGCCCACCGCCTGCTCTGCATGGCCTTCATGCCCACAGATCCCTTTGAAACCCACTGTGTCGCCAAAAGCACACCGAGGGCATCACGTCTGTCTGCAATAAATCACACACATGGTGTCTGTTTCAGGAAGTGCTCTGATGACAGGCTGACCATTTCAGGACACATGTCAGAGCAGCGGCAGTGAGGATCAGAGATCTCTCCAAGATGAAGTTCTCTGGTTCCTCCTATGTGTCATTGCACAGGAATTCAAAGACCTCTACATCAGAAACACATCAGAAGCCAAAATTATCTCAGTAATTGGTTCACACATTCCACCAGCACTCAATGATCGATTAATGTCTTTCTGATATCTCCATTCATTCACAGATTGCTGCCTTCCACACTTCCTCTGGAATTCATCTCTCCCAGATTCCCATCCCTTTAGCTCTTTTCATCCCCCCCCTACTCCCTGCCCCCTCCTGCTTCTTATCCCTGCTCTCCCTTTCACCCTCCCCACACAACTGAAGCCCAGACAGTGTTTTTGTTTCTGCTTTCAGTGCGGACTTAACCTTGACTTGTTTCTATGCAGCTACTCACTCAGACCTCACAAAACACAATAAACTGTATAATAAAAAAGCAAGTGAGCTACTGTAGGTAGCACAGACACAGTTTCCCACACGGATCATCACTTAGCTTTTCATTCACATTTTCATACATTACCCACTGTACCCAAGACCAGAAACAGTGACGAAAGCTGCATCAATGCAAGGTTGAAAAGACAATAATCAAGATAAGACACAATTCAGATCTAGAGCAAAGAGGCTATATAATGCAATAAACGACTGTACAGGTTCAGGATTCCTGTCCAGGTTTTGAAACTCAGATAGCATTTACACATGTACATCATCATCATCATATTTCTGACATTCTGGAGATGATGGAACGTAAAAAATGTGCACGGTCGTGCTGGAATAGCACTACACTGTCAGGATAAAACTTTTTATAATTAACATCCTTAGAGAGGGAATTCCTGCCATTGTCTTTCGCTGTTTCATGTCTCTTTACCTCTCTAAATGAGCAAAACAAATAGGAAGTCCATTAGCCAAAAGACGAGCTGTTGCCAGCGCAGCTTGCTGGGCTCACTCCTCTCACTCCTTTCTTCCTCACACCAGCTGTCTTCCTCAGCGGCCATAATTACAGCAGTCACAACAGGTGACGTATGCATCAACCTTCTGCAGGAATACACCCCCGCAGAAAGAAATAGCTTGCACATTGTCCAAATGCAATAATAAAATGTCCAGAATTGGCAGCTGACAGAAATAATAATGATTGATCAGAATGAATATGGAGAGAGTATGACGTATGAAATATGCGAGTCTTAAATACAGACATACTGCACCTGTATTTACATACTGGCAATAACACCCGTATACACACACAGGCACCCCTCTCAGCCTGCAGGCTATGTGAACGGTGAGAACAGTGCTGAGTCTGAGGTGGAAGGGGCGGATTCCCCAGAGGTTTAAATACACCAACACCCACATCAGAAGACTCAGAAAATGCTTTTCGCCCTTGTAGCTTATAGCCATCTCCAGTGGTGCCAGGACAAGACATAAAAGAACTTACCCATGCTCTAAACTCTAAACATCATCATCATTTATGCTAAATTGCAAGTTGAACCTCCTTTTTAACAATGTCAAAGTAACACACTTAGTTAGCTCTTGAATTAAATGTTGATGTGCCTGTCTTAGTAATTGTAATAAAACTTTTAATGCAAAACAACAGCAATTAAACTTCAATATGTCTGAGTATTCATATAAGACATCATTTGTTCTGCTTGTCTTTGAAGGATCAGATTGTTCCATTGAGCAATCAAACAATATTGCAGTAGTCTAGTCTTTCCTCTATGGTATGATGCAATGAAGCTACTAAGCTTTTGGACATTATTTTACCCCCCTCTGTTTATTTAAATGTCACACATAAAACTGTATTCACAACCACATCCCCCTTTAAAGGAAAGCAGAGTAAAACATTAATTGTTAATCCAACAATTTACTGTACGGTTCTGAAAATATAATTCTGTAAATGTAATTGTTACTGAAAAAGAAAGTAATCTTCACACATCAATAATCCCAATATCGATATGGACATAGACCTTTATTAATTATTTAATTGATGTTATGCCAAGTTAATATAAGGTGCATTATTTATGAAGCCCCAGTCTGTGTGCCCCAGGGGAGCCTGAGAAGGTGGACTGAAGGCATTATCTCCTCTGTCAAATACCAGATGAAGCTAAAGCTCAGACAAACCTGTCAGGTCTGGCAGACTAGTCTTCCAAGAGAGCTTTGTAGTGTTTTTTTTTTATTTGGTTTTATGTATTCAGATTCACAAACTTAAAACAGTAAAAAAACAGATAATATACTCAAAAAAAGGTTCACATTATGAACAATGATTTATACAGCTACTGCCCTTACAGTATGAGGTCTGAGTTCAGAGCTAGACAAAAACTCATGTTTGTGACCACAACACCACCCGTATACAAAACAGCCAGGAGTCGGGAGTGTTTTTTGAATTCACAAGGCGACATCCAAAAAACATTGACAACAAAAAAAGACTTCTAATGTCCCTGGAGTTTTTTATTGCAGTTTGCTTGTCTAGTTCTTGTTATTCTTTCCTAGTTGGAATTTGCCATTGGGTAATTAACTGTCTCACTACTACATAGTCAAAGACCGGATGAGCCCAGAGCCAGGGTCAAGGGAACCCATTAAACAGATATATACTGTACTATACTGTATATACAGTATACATTGTTATTACTGTTGGTACTCCTTCTGCCTGGTGTACCAAGGTTAAAAACCTCAGTAAAATTAATGAATTCATATTTTTTAAATGCATGCAATCCAAATATATTTGAATATACAGTACATACACCGTGTGTACTGTATATATGAATATAGTACTGTATGTGAAGGTATATACCCCACAGCCAAAAAGATGAGAAAAGGAACTAGAATTGTTACTACAGAAAACTGCCACTGTCAGGAGATTACCTTGCTAAAATGTGACATTAGAATGAACCACGTTTATCTGCATTTAATAGTGAAAAGCACATTATTAAAGACGAATGTACTGTATAAGGAAGATGGAGGACATGTGAAACTCTGAGGACAAAGCTCATTTCCTCTCCCTTTCAAACCAACTGATACAGTATGTCTGCAAATAAACTCATTCGTAGCTTTGATGTCTCAGACTACACATCTGCAGAAACCCTGCAAAAAAATGTACACCTGCAAAAATAATCCCCTCACAAAAGTACTCAGGAAGAATAAAAATGGCATGTGTCCTCTTATCCTTGTGAATTGGCCCATGTATTTGAGGTTTTAAAAACCTGACGTGGCTGTGATTCTGCCACCGAAAGCCCTCGAGCTGGCAGCACACACCAGTTGTCATTTTGCATAATAAGCTGCACATATCAGTACTGTCATACTTTAAATGAGAAAAATACATTAAAACCCTCAGATACAGTATTTTAAAGTGTTATATTCATACCAGACATTCAGCCTTCAGTGGCAGTTTGGTTGTAATAAAGAGATGAGCTCTTTATTAATAATAATACATGGCCACTGAATAGTGTATTACCTCTTAGAAAAACAAGGTATCCTTTAAATACTCAGAGTAGCTGCTGGACTCTTGGATAGATTCAGTAAATACCTCCTCTGCCCTCTCACACAATTCTCCTTCAGGTCAGCTCCTGCAAGCCACCTGCTTTCTATTTCACACATAGCAAGGGATACATACGCCATTACAAACGTTTACCCATGGGTCTATCCTTTTTTTCTCAGCAGTTTTGTGTCAGAGAGCACAATAACAAGAACAGAACATGAAAACATTTACAAATAAAAGACAGTTATTTGCCCTTTTTTGCCTAAGACAATATCCGTTGTAAAATCTTTCTAGTGCTGTATTCTTGGGATTTGAATCCTGTGCTTTTCAATGTACTGTATATATTGTTGTATTGAGAGCTTTAGTGAGTATCAACTTTCCTACCCCAGTAAAGTTCAAATCCCAAAAATCCAAACATTAACATTTCTGTCATGACTCTCAGTGTGTTAGCAGATGTAAAATTAAGCAATAAGCTTAATTTCTGAGAGATTAAATACAGCATGACAGCAAGTCTTTCAGGCTTCTCTTCAATAGCATATAATCAATACTTACTCCTGTCAGTGCTAATGGAAAATTCTGGGAACAATTAATTTTTTAATTAGTGTCAGTAGGTTGAAAAGACATTTTACTGATATTAAAAGCAGCTCTATTAGATGCAAATATGTTCTTGGGTTCTGCTTCACATGGTTGCTAACAAAATAAACTGACAAGTGCATGAAATTGATTGCTTCCCTGTCTTTTGTTGGCCTGATATAAAAAAACTGCTGGCACTGAAATATTTTGACAAAAGTGAATCGCTGCTAATTTCAAAAGGGGTACTCAAATAAATGAACACAGTTAATCTTTAAAGATATTGTGGAAAAATTAAAAAATGCAGTAAAGTTAATTTAAATTCTCTCTTTTTTGTCTTTTGTGGACATACAGTATAGACACTGTAGTATGGAATGCTGATAGTTCTAAATCTATGGAACAGCAGTCTGAAAAATACTCAGATTCCCAGACCTGTTAACATTAATGAATTAATGTGTATGAAACCCCTTCAGTAACTAGAAACCAAGACTGTTTCTGCATGTATCCACACTGTATTCACGATGAAAATAAGAAGTTACCTGTATGAATATATAAGAAAGCACATGAGACGAATCTGCTTGTACAGCCTCAGGGGCACCTGTCCGCCCTACCTGATGGAGTTGGAGATCTTGCTGGTGTCGTCCGCTGTCGCCTCATTCTCTATGTGAAACCCGTTGGGGATGACCTTCAGGGAGGACCTGCTGAGGACGTTCTCAGATCTGCTGCTCGTTATGGAGTGACGCAGGGGGCTCCCGCAGGCCTCCTCAGCACACCGTCCGGCCGTCGGGTCCTCCTGCCCCTGTGGCCCCTCCTGCTCTGCCTCCTGCTTGCTCACGGTGCTCAGCTCCAGAACCTCTTGCTGCTGGGCCACCAGCTTCTGCTCCAGCAGCTCGGGTCCGTCCTTGACCCTCTGCTGGATGAGAGGGGTCAGCGGGGCCTCGAAGCTGACACAGCTGTCCGTCTCGTCGGTCAGGGACAGCACGTCGAGTGAGTCCAGGCTGCTGTAGTAGGTGCCCCTCATGAGGTCCGACTCCACGATTCGCTCGAAAGTAGAACTGAACCCATCCCGGTTGTCCCGAACCTGGGTCCCCTCTTTCTCCGTATCAGCATCCGTCTGATTCTCTGCTTTCCTGTAACAGCGGGAAGTGTCAATGTGAGGCCTTAGTGCCCAGTTAAGCCCTGTTCATCTGTGCATCTGTTCCAGCAACAAGCAAGCCAAGCAGCTCCACTTGCTTTTTGGACACATTAAAAGAACACATTTTTTAGAAAATTCCCGATGATTTAATAAATAAAACATTCAATCTCTAACAAAAAAAATAGCTCACCAAACATGTTCTGCCCAAATATATAATAAAAGTTACACTCTCCTGCCCATAGGAATCCAAAGTAAATCATGTACATGGATTGTGCATGTAGTACGAACAGGTTACAGGGAAACAGGAAGAAGATAGCAGTGACCACAGAGTGCAGAGGTCAGCAGTGGGAACCGCGCTGTGGGACGACAGCTCTTCCTAATTTAAAGTAATGATCCAGTCTCACACAGTCAGTCACCCTGTCAAATATACAGAAATAAAAATGCAAACACTCTTCACAACTATTATATAGCAACATATACATACCATTTGATACTGTGTATGTTGTACTGTATATGTTTGCATTCTGCAACTTGTCTTTCTATTAAACACAGAGATACCTTCAGGTCCTCAGTCTCAGATTTGTATTTTACCTGCTGATGACGTGTTTGGCAGCTGGCAGCCATTTTGGCTCTGCACAGTCCTCAGCAGGGATCTTAAACCAAAATGGCTGCCAGGTACAGAGCCCTCCAAGGGTCACAAAGCACAGCTTTTGCATTCAGGAAATTAAAGTACTATATTGTATTATTAATTGGATTTTCTTTATTTTAATCATTAGTAGATATGTATGGTGATGTTACAATATGTAACTGTGTTTATTGCATTAATTTGTGTTAGTCAAACCTCTATAAGAATAAGAATATTTTCAAATATGGACATACAGATTCTTTGCACAATAAAAATGATAGCATTAATAATTACTATTTAATTAAATATAGCAGTATACATACAGTACGGATTATTGGGGTCAACACAAGGAATCAGCAATGAACAACAATTTCACAAATTGCAGTCTAGGTAGAAGTAAAATAAGCTGTCAGAAATAAAATGGCACACAGGACAGACATTAGTAATTACAATCTCTTGGGACCACTCTCTGGCCACACACAGGGAGACAGCTCACCCACTGACCCAGGGCCCAGTCGCAAGATGAAGGACTCTAGAAATTCCAGACTGAAACACCGGGGAGTGTAACAAAGTATCAAAACTTGAATTTGTCCTGATCATTATTTTCTGGTGTCTTCTTGCTTACACTGAACTGGAGAACACCCTAAATCTACATATCTGTCCTGCTGGCAGATAACCTTTTCCATCTTCCCTAACAATGTCACGGGCTCTAACTTTTCTAATCAACACTGTGGACATTTCTTTTCCTTTCTTTTAATCCATATGGGAATTTTAATGTGAAAAACCTCTAAATGGCTAAAAAGCAGTGGAGGACTGTGTCATAAAGTTTAATTATGAATAAAAACCACTGTACGTCTTGCTAAGAATTCATACCCAGAGCCATTTCCTTTCTCTAGCTTATTAATTATTTAGCCTTTAAATAATTAATTTTAATTATACACTCCGATAGGAATAACAGCACTTGCACCTGACCCATAGGTACATTAAAATTAAGATTCCCAAATGCTGAAAATGTACTTATGTGATAAACATACTTTCTAATCACACTGTATTTCACAGCAGGTGTTTACAGTGTGTAATGCTATTTCAAGAAAGCAGATAATCAATCTGTGATTTGGAGCTGTTTAAAGAAAGGAATCATGTCACACTTCACATCAGTGTTTCCAGCATTCATATACTGTACAGTGCTCAGTGCACAGGTTATTTAGGACTGCAATACTGAGTGCAGTCTTTATTTAAATATAAGCGAAGGGGTCACAATGACAATAAAACTAATTCTTGTTTTTTTTTTTCTATTGTATAGATTTCTGTTTTTCTATATATTTTATCTGAAGATACAGCTACAGCAAAACCTAAGTAAAAACAGTTTTGGTCCTTTTCACAGTTAATCTACTTGTTTAATTGTCACAAGACATTTTAAAGGAAGCAGTTTTGACAGAAATAAATGCTGAAAGCTGCCAGCCCTAGAAATCACTGCTTAAACCAAGAATCACCACACAGAGGGGAGTTAGCAGTGCCACCTCCTGTAGCCAGCTCTCCTTGGGCCTGAGGAGCTAAGCAAGCCTGGTCCTGGTGAGGAATGGTTGTAAGTGCTGGTGGACCAGGCAGCCCTGTGGACAAGAGTTTCCAAAGATGGACCACACTACGTGGCAGGAGGTGCCAACCTCTGCATGAAATGTTATCCTATTGTCCTAGATACTAGGTTGTTAAAAAGCTCATGTCTCTGCTGCTAAGACGAGGTGTGTTAACCCCATTGTCCTGGTTAATTCTAACAGCCTGGTCTTCCTCCATTTCCCCTGTATTCAAGTGATGAAGAAGTTTAAGGTACAGTAGATGCCCAGTTTGGTGCCACACTTCACTCATGGATGAAGTGAATCGTTACCTATAAGTAAAACACAATGGGATCCTTTGGGGATTTAAAGTGCTACTGTATATACTTTAAAGAAATTACACAGTCATTATTAAACTAACAATAAAAAGAAAACAAGCCTGGAGTATGCTCATGTAGGATCCTGCAGATGTGAAGAAAGGCTACAAGAATGAGCAGCAGGGCCCACACATTCAGAGTCAGACAACATGAGCTGAAAGGCACAAGGTGAAGGACGCTTCCTCCTAGCGAAAAAGACATGTGAGGGATAATGGCTGTCCAACACACTGAAAGACTGTTTAAGAACAATTACTCACAGTGATACAGTCCCACAGTCATCTGGCTACAGATCCATGGTATATACGGACCCTTATGCAGTACCATTACTATTCTCTGCTTTTCAATTTAGCATTAAGGAAAAGCCCTGGGAGAACTATTGCTTCAGGCATTTAATGTATTTCAGGTATACGCTGTAGAGCTGCTTGCAGACAGCACCTTACAAATCTGGGGGATAAATGCTTCTCTGCAACAGACAGATCACATTCCCAGCTTCAAAAGAGGGGCCTGCCTGTGAATTACATTATTCTCTTTTTTTCTCCTACTTCTCTTGTTTTCCTCTTTTCTTTTTTTTTCTCTCCTCAATATTCACCCCTGTGGCTCTGCCCAGAAAAAAAAAGTTGAATTAATGTTAAACATGAGTTTATGTTGCTACGGTTCTCGAAAATATAACCCTGAGGTTAGGTTTACTTTTTAAACATCATTCTGAAGTGTGGACAATATTCATTCACACTGAAACAAGTCCAAACAGCTTTAAATAAAAGCAAATAATAACACAAAGTCTTTAGTCTACATTCAGTAAACAATTCATGTCTTCTCCATATACTTCACAATCTAAACTGTAGAATGCCCTGATCCTCGATGCCACCATCCAGAAAGCTAATGGTGGACAGATGCTCCCAACTCGGTCCTGGAGATCAATTCAATTCACTTTTAATAGTTTAGAAATTCAGCTCTCCTTTTTAAAAAAGCCTTCATACAAACATGAAGAACTAAAAATTGTATTTCTATACTGAACTATGGGAGTCTGCGGTGTGTTATGGCATTGAGCAAATAGCTTTCTTTGAAAGCAAATATATAATTATGCCTGTGGGATTTGATTTTTTTTTCATCATGTACTATGCGTGTGTAAAATCTCATTACTTTACTGTGGAGTCTGTCACTCATTTGCCCACAGTAGACGTGGAGGACTGCAGTGTTCAAACAGAAGACTGTCAGGGACAAAGATTACATCTTCCCAAGTTCAAGTCCAACTGGAGACTGGAAAATACTGACAGTATTTATACAGTATAAAATACTGACAGGGAAAGACTTCTTTCGTGCACATATGCTTTAATATTATATTTATGAATTCAATTAATATATTGCTAATATAGCAAGGTACAAAGTTTTACCTTGCTATTAAATCGAATATTTTTCTCTCATAACCAGGAGTTAAGCCTGGCTTCCAAAATTATTATTATTTTGCTTATTGAACAACACTGCGTGTATGGCTGACTGGCTACTAACTGGATTTGCTCTGATCTGTCAGAGCTTAATATGCTATTAAATGGCTTTAGCAATTTATTACATTTCTTTGGTAATATTTCCAGTATATATATTATATTAAAAAGATGATAACGGCAATGTGTTTAATAGCAGCTCATATCCAAATTAACAAACCACGTCTCTGTGCTGGCGGTGACGTTACCTACAGTACATTCAATGCAATGGGAGATTAATACATCTTGGGTCTCCCCAGGAGAAATGGACTGGAAGAGGATGAACGGAAGAACAGTAGTGAGGTCATTTGCTCGTATTCATCCATCCGTCTTAACATCCATCCATCTCTCATCTCTCAGTTTCATGCCTATCTGCAGGAATCACGCTGTTTCTTTCATTACCTGCTTGGCTCATCTTCAGTCTGAGAGGTCTCTTCTCCAGCGGTACCACTTGGCCCTTCTCCAGGAGCTGGCTTGTCCCTCTCGTCCCCCCTGTCTTTCAACCTGCCATTCATGAGAGGCTTGTCAGCCACCTCTTCATCTCCGGATTCCAGGCCGTTCTGTGAGTGTGAAACACAAGAGCCCCTGGAGGAAAGCCTGCATTCTTTACCCAGTTCCTCTTGCATTTTCCCTACATCCTGCCCTTCCTTTCTCAGCTGCGATACTTTGCCTCCTAGTGTTCCAGTGCTCTTCTCCGACGTGTCGCTGTTCTGTTTCTTTCCAAAGCTGCGTCCCGCCTCTGCCTCCTCCACGCTCTGCCCCAGACCTGCCTCGACGGTCAGGACGCCGGCATGACCCTCAGAAGAGCCTCCGTTTGCAATGTGATGTGTGCCAAGCGGCCGCAAGGTACTTTCAGTTTCCAAGACCAGGGACACAGTGCTGTTGTTTTCTTCATTCATGTCAACTCCTTTGGCAGATGAGGCTGCGTCTCTCTGGAGTTAGAGAATAAGGATGCCGGCTGGATCCAGGAACTGTTAAAGATATTATGTCTGCAAAAGGAAACAGATGAGACGTACTTTAGCACATGCAGCACTGCAGACAGATCTTAAGCAACCAAAGGAAGCAAAAACAATATACAAACAAAATATGCCGTCAAACACCATCCTTTTTAGACAAAGTTGAATTGAAGCACTGTACCATCACGTCAAGGCACTCAGAAAGTGTGATGTACTGTATATGTGTACGTTTTCAAACACACACTACACCTGTCCTCCAATTCTACTTCCGTTTTAAACAGAAAGCATTTTAAAAGTGACTTGAAAAGTAGAGACAGCATCTCTTTAGTAGAGTATACTGAGCTGAGACAAAGTCACCCCAGACTCCAGACCCCAGGTTTTCCTTCTGTAAACTCAGACAGGCACTCCTTGAACTTCTGCTGACCCTAGAATCCAGGAGACCAGGCAACGTGTGTTACCACAGCACCACAAACAAAGAAGACAAATGTGTCAGTAAAGTGAGAGCTACTGTAGAACGTCTTGTCATAGCTGATCTTGTTGTTTTGCTAGACCTCTAACTTGCAAATCCGGGCTTCATTTTGAGCCCCATGTTACAGTGGTGACTCACTTGCTTAGTTGGTTGTTTTACACTTAACAGGATTGTTATTTCTCCTACAAGTAACATAAAGATGGAAATGCAAATTTACACAATGTCCTCCTGGAGTCTTTAACTAGCAAAAGGGTAAAAGGTTTGATTTAATTCAGCCATACAACAAAGGATTAGTATGTACAGTAGCATGGTCCTGAGCTCTGCTCCTGACACTGATATTGTCTTTTATATATTCTGGATGTAAATTTAGTGGCACTCGTTGTCCCTTGTCCCTGTTATTTACTTCCTTCTTTTCCTGGTAACAGGAGTGAGATGCAAATTTAATAAAATAGGTTTCCAAAGCAACAAAGGATAAATATAACAATATTAACTGTGGGAGCCTGTGATCAATTCAATGTCAATTTCACACACCCTTAGGTGGGAGGGAATTAGTCGTGCATATCACAAAGCTGAATTGTTCATGATGCTATATTTTCATAGGCTAACTGAGAAGAAGGTACTGTAGAATCAGAACTCAGGAGCCAACAACATACAGAACAGTTCCTCTACATTCCAGCTGCTCGTGTCCTTTCCAGAGTGTATGGATTTGCATGAGGAAAAAGCTCAAGCACATGGAAATGTCCCCATTCAGCAGTGATTGTTCCCTGTTCCCCGGAGGAAGAAACACCACTCCCTGCACGCCTGTGATATTCTGGGGCTTCTGCAGATGGTGCACAAGGGTCCTTGGTGCACCCTAGAGGCTTCAGACAAAGCCCTGTCTCCCCCGAGCAGCTGAATCGCAAGCAGGCGCACGTACCTCCTTCTGCTGGACTGAACCTGGGTATAACCCTTTAAGTGTGTTAATAATAATAACATTACTTTATTAACCCTTTACAATTTCTTGCATTAGGAATTATCTTTTCACATACCCCAGCTTGCTCTCCATGAGACACACAGACAGGGAGAGAGCCTGGGGTCATAGCACAGGGTCTGCCAAATTGTACAGCACCCCTGGAGCAGTTGGGGTTAAGGGCCTTGCTCAGGAGCCCAACGGAGTAGGATTCCTCTGCCAGCTGTAGAATTTGAACCGGCAACCTTCCAGCCACAGGCGCAGATCCTTAGCCACAGAGCCACCGCTCAATGTTATGTGGGACTGCTCAGCACAGGGATGGTTACGTTTCACTGTCTTGTGCATAACCTGCATATAACGATCTTCAGGCTGCCTCAATATCTATTATTTAAAACTATTATAGATAGATTATCTCTCCTGATAATTTCTTAGAAGAAATATATGCAGTAAATTCCTGGCCGGAACACTGTAAACGGTCCATAAATATATGCTGTAGCTGTTAATTTAAACTGTCTATGAAGAGTAGGAACACATTTATTATTAACATTTTCAGTATGTTTCATTCATTTAATTATTATATAGTATTCTTATTAATCTGAAAGCAAAATTAATCTGATGCCTTTATCCATGTTGCATTAAAAACAACTGAAACTGCACAAAGCACAGATGTACAGTATATAGTTTCTATCATACACAGATCACTCTTTTTTACATCCCATCCACATCCACCCAACTCCAGTTTTGCAGCATCCCTTGTTCATTCCTCACTCTGCATGGGGTCGCAGCCTCATCATCCTGTTGCCAGGTCTGGGGCAAATCTCACTATACATGAACACTCAACAAGCAGCCTCTAATTCATCTCTTCCCTCAGTGTCATTAATCCTTGTGAAATAGTATGAACCTGCAGAGGAACAATTCATTTCATCTTGAAAATATATATATTTTACTTTTCAGAAGGGAACTGACTTTGTTCCATATTTAAATGTCTGTAAATGTATATTATTACATTTTTTAAAACAAACTTTTTAGAGGAACTGTGCTTCCATTAACAGCACAAGAATTATGTTATGATATTAGTACAAATTAGATATTTTAAAGCCCTCAAGTTGTATTGTTTTAACAATATTAACAGTAAATTTTAGAGAGGTGAATTGTAACATTCTGTTCCACATCTTTTTTTCAGTAAAACAGTAGCAACTAGCAAACACAGAAATCAATATCACACTAATATCAATTTGCATTTTCATTCTCCAGAGTATGAGCTATTTCGGTACAATTTATATTGATTTTGCTTTGGCTAATCATAGCGGGGCAAGGTGTGTCATGTTAAATTTTCTGTCTGCATTATCATGAAAGCCTTGCTAAAGGTTTGAATATATCTTACTGATTGTTATATCCCTATTGAAAAAATGGTCTTGAGGGACCAGAGCCTTTCAGTGCCAAATTGAAAGGCAAAATGCTGAAAAGGCAATAGATCTTAGAATGCGCAGGTCTTTGGGCTTCCCAGGGGTCATTTAAAATGAAGTAAAAGCCAATATCTGAAGGCAGAGCATTCTCTTTTCCAGGACACCATAAACAGAGCATCGATGTCCTAGAGATATGGGAGGTGACATCGCAGTATCAGTGAGGACTGAATGCCTTCGTGACCATGAATGAAGCGCGTTATGTTAGTGGGAGATTACCTGTCACACAGACAAGGTACGACAGCCCCCTGAGTAAGGTGAGTCAAGGGGCTGCTGGCGTGCCAGAGGAAGGGCGGAGAGGTTTTGTTGAACAGAAAAAGAAGTAAGATGCCTCTCGTTTATATAAAAGGGAGAGGAGGTAACTGGTCGTTTCCTCCCGAATGTTCGCTCCGAATTCCATTTATTGTCTCTGTGATCGGTCTTCGTGTGTGTGTGTGGACTGACTTGTGTGTAAGACCATAACAACGGAGTATGTTGTAACACTGGCACAACTGGCATAAAGAACAAGGAAGTCATTTTAATCAACTATATAACTCATTGATTAATAAAGGCACCAAGTACTTCTAGAATAAAACACATTCCTTATTTAAAAACGCCATCTATTATCCAGAGGTTCATGAAGGTCCATTGGTTTGCATGTAATGTGAAAGTGCCAATTAGCTAAATTCCATGCATACACCCAGTGATGAGATGCATAGGCTACACCTTACAGCACACACCAATCTAATTATTTCTAAGAACACAAAGGCAGAAATGTGATTGTATGATTAAAGTTTCTCTGCCCGTTCCTGAACACATCACACACCAAATTATACTGGTTACAATCATGTTTTTCAGTTTCCTGTCAAGCTTATCCTATACCATTTCCAATGAATTAAGGTCAGGCTATAGACGAGGACTGCGGTTTCAGGCCCATTTTGTTCTTGGGTAAACATGTGTGTCTGATGTCTCAAACCACGACTACAGACATTGCATGACTTATGCAGAAGTGCAATATAACAACTGTAATATCAGTCATTAAGAAGGATATACAATCTAACCAAAGAGATTAATCAGTTTATCCCCAAAAACGCTGTCTTACTCATCAATGGATGCCTCCAGACAGTGTGTGTCAGAGTGGCTTGCAATATATTTAAAGCTGCTGAATTCAGATAAGAAAGGTCATGCTGAAACTGCATGTGACATCCGCACCAAAGCCATCTAGAATATTGCCTTTCGTCCCGGTCACCACATTATGAAAAAATATATTTCATCACTGGAAAGAGACCAGAGAAAGGTGACCTAAATAAGATTAATACTGAAAGTAGGTTATATACAGTACATGCAAGTATAGTCAGGCTGACCAAAACATGGTATGTGCTGAAACAGGCCATTTTCAGTGTAATTCATAAGCATTAGAAAAAACAATAAAACTTTAATATGTACAGTATATATTTGTTTTACTATTTAATAGTCAGCTCCAAGTTTTGTCCCAGCTTCTGCTCCAGGATTTCAAACTTCCTTTTACAAAATCCAATTCTGCAGAGTCAGGATCTCTGTGTGAGAATGAAACACCCCCTCCGCACCTCCAGCTGAGAATCAGATCTGTTCCGATTCTTAATGATGTGAAATTGGAGTGAAAGCGCCAGCAATTACCATGAGAATGAACACAGACCTGGGGACACAAGAACCCTTCTAAGAGCCCTGCAGCAGGACCAGTCCCTTCCTGGGGATTATTATTAAAGTGGGACAAAGTGAAAGCTTTGCTCAGTAGCTCCAGCTAACGGTAGAGCAGTTCTATGTAAATATTAATTATTTTGACTGCTAGGTGGTTAACAGGTGTAACTATAAGGAGGCAAAGAAATTATAAGGAAGAATTCCTGTGGTATCACAACACCGCATAATGACAATACAATTTTTAAAGCTAATCCACAACACCAACTCCGCAGTATATCATGTGCAAACACTTTAGATTTAATATGGATATAACTGAATATAGGCAAAACCTACATGAAAATCATACAAAAAATATTAGTCATTTAAATTGTTAGTACACCACAAAAATCCTAAAATGGAAGTCCTATATGTAAAGTTTCCTCTGCTATAATGTAAATTCATTCTTAAAACACATGAATATTTTGACGTGAAAAGACCATATGTCTAGCATTAAACA